TTATTTGAACGATAAAAAATGCATTCAGTGAAAGATTAGAAGTTACAGTTATTTATGCTACTGACAAGCGTCTCAATGTCTCTTTAGATGGACTTCTGCGCAAGCAAAGAAGTAGATAGATTACTAGTATTATCTACTTGGCTACAGCTAATTTTTAAATGGAAATGAGAAAGCTGGCCCAACAAGTACAGGTGGCAATGGCAACACTGCACAAGACAAAGCTGTGTATTTCCACAAGCGGGATGAGACCACACTGGTGTTAGAACTGTGGCTGGTGAAGAGCAGCAGCATGGCAAGAACTGCTACAGTGTCCTAGGAATCAAACAACATCATTACCCCAGCACAAAGTCTTTCTTCCACCATGTTAAAGAGGACTAAGAATCCTATGCATTCACCACCTCCCCTCTTGCTGGGATCAGGGTGGAACTGCCCACCTGGGCAAGGCAGAGCAAGACTGCATCACAAAAAACAGAAGATTCCTCCAGTATACTTGTAGAAACACCGAGTGGCTTTTCTGTTTCCACCAGGACACAAAAATCAACACTGCTTCCTTTATCCAAGCAATCAGACAGATTGTGTAAACGTAGACCAAAGAGGCAAAAGTGGACTCATGAACTCTACCTGAGCAAAATCTGGAGTGCCAAATGCCAAGGGTACCAGTGAAACACAACTATGTGTCTTGGCCAGTTCCCTGGAACCTTAAGTACTTGAAGGTCAGGAAACTGAGATGAGTGTGGATACAGGAGCAAAGTGAAAACATGTACATTCCTTACGTCTTGTACCATCAGAATCATATTTTTTGGACAACATCAAGATCTAAACAAATCACCTGGAGTAAATCTGCTGCATTTTGAACATCTCTTCGGGCTCTTTAAAATACATGCTGTTGTGCTCCACTGAATCATGCAATACTGCTCCAGCAAATGCTTTTCGATAAAACAAGTCCAGTTCAATTTAGAGGGCTAAGGAGGACTTGAGGACCATGTTAATGCCTAAGTGTCGATTTGATGGCAGCCAGTGCATCTGTGTTGGCAGCATTATTTACAGTTGATGAGTGAAAGTTTTAAACCCAGATAACTTCTTTCCATTGTTTATGTATATTTTTTAAAAACCAACAAACAATATATGCTTTGAAATGTGGACTTTACAAACTTCTCTTCTAGTATTCACACTGTGGTGTAGCAGTTATAGTCCTGGACCAGAACTCAGATCATCTGGATTCTAGAATTCACTTGGCTTTCACATTCACTGGATGAGCTTGGGCCAGTTACTGAGTCTCTATCCAACCCACCACACAGGGTTATTGTGAGGATAAAAATGGAGGTGGATTATGTAAGTTGCTTTGTGTTCCTTGCAAGAAAAGTAAATATTTACAAAGTGCTAGCACTGAAACTGTTAGTTGGTTTCTGTGCATTAGTACTCAATATACTACAGACACCTTTATACACACAAAAGGAATTGAGCCGACTGTTCTGTTGCATAGGGCAAGAGGGAATGCAGCCAAGTTCATCACAGCTGGATTTACTCTGCTGCTCTAAATGAATCAAAGCTATTTACTCTTAAGATGGGCCTCCAACTTGGGAAACAGCATGAATGTTCATACTTTTGCAACCAGAAAATGATTGCAGTTCTAAACGGAAGTGTATATTTAAAAGTACACTGAGTGTCATGTAAATACTTGGAGTATATTTTCTGACTTAAAATATGTGGCAAGTAGGAACTATTAACTTAGATATTCCTATATACTACTTGTACTATATACCATTTGTTCTTCAAGAACAGGGAAAATGCATAAATATAAAGAGTTAGCCTATCACAATTCTCCTCCCCCACCACCTAAGGAAGATGTGTCATTTTTCTTCTGTTCCTCTCAAGAATAGTCCTTACAGACTACCCTTTAAACTGTCCTCTGTACTCACAGCGTAGTTAAGGCTACAACCCTATCCATGCTTAGGTGTGTTAGTCATACTGAATTTAGTTTGGATGGCTTCAAGGAGTACTGTACAAGTGGTTAAAAACTGAATTTGTGTGTTTTAATTCATGGCTACATGGCACATTTGAGATTCTAAGTTTGAAACTAGCTGGGAAAGTTTAGATGCTAGGTAAGTTATTCTACAATAACAATACAAGTGTTGTGGATTTGTTCTAAGATTTACTATTTCAGAGAACAAATACTTATCAACCACTGGTACAGAGCCAAGTCGTAAAACACAGTATTATGCCAGCACTACAGAAACTAGGAGCTGACTGGTTCCATCACTTGTTAATTTGCATGCAAAAAAGCAAGAAAATGGGGAAAAATAAACACCTTTTATGTCAAATAAAAAAAAAAACAAGAGCAGAGTAATTTCTTTAGCATACTCTTAACAAGACATGCATTTCAGACTCCTTTCTCATCTGCATTTGACAAAAGGGCTATTCCACATGCAACGTGGCAGCAAACCCAGAGTTATCAACAAGTGCATGCTTGGAACTGTGAACATGTCTTCATCTTAAAAATGTCATGTGCTATGCAGTCCATGATTTTCATAAACAAGTTTTTTTAAGCAATAAACCTGAGTATCTGCGTTCTACTGCCTACTTGGCCATGAAGCTCACTGAGTGTCTTTGGGCCAGTCACAGATTCTTATCCCAGCCTACCTCACAGAATTGTTATTCTGAGGATAAAATGGAGTTATGTCACCCTGGGTTCCCCACAAGGGAGAAAATATATATAAATGCAATACACTGATAACAACAATACTGCAATTTAATGTCTTGCAAGATTTAATTTAACACCTTTCTGGCAAATAAGAAAACGGGAGGGAGAAACATATCTTAAGAACTCTTAAGGATCAGTTTGTACTATGACTGATAGTTTTTACTTCAGATGACTAAATATTCACTGAGACACACTGTTTATTGAGACTTGGATACTCCTTTCCCAGTACTTTCCTCATGGGGCACTGCAAGCATAGTTCAAATTTTACATACATACACACTTTGAGACATTGCAGAGAATTACAGCTTCATGGTTTTTATGCAGGTGTTTTGTCTATTATTGTTTAATTCCAAATGTTAAATGCCTCCCATACCAGCCTATATAATAGTTGCATTCTCATGTCACAAAAGGCCAGTATTATGAAGAATTCAGATGACCAAAGTTACTTCCACTTTGCTCCTCCTTGCTAGCAGAATGAACCACTAAACAAATCAGGAATCATTTAATTTTTTTTTCTAAATTGGTGCATTGTTCCAAGACAAATCTGATTTTCAATGCTGACATGAGACCAGAGCAAGAAGCCAGGATCCTCACTTGAGAACATACTAAACAAACTGATTCTGGTTTGTTTAGAGGTTATACTAGCAGAAAGAAGCAATGCAGGAATAAACATGCTGCAAGCATAAGTGTGCGGCTCTTTCACAACAAGCTGGAATTCTTCAGGAATCTAGCTTATATCGTTCTGCATGAACACTGTAATTGTAGCGTACATGATCATAAGAAATGTGGAAAAGGATAAATAAGATAACTTTACAGCTGGGAGAATAATGTGTCACAAGCCATTTCTAAACAGGAATCTGAAATCAAGTCTCTTGGTCTAGTTTCAGTTATGCTGTGCACAAGACCACAATGGAAATGCTAAAACATATCGCTTAAAATACCTGAAATGACAATTGCTTAGGAACAGATGACTGGTATTTGTGAAATTCAAACATATTTGTTCATAAAAAATCTGAAAGCTGTAAGTGTACACTTTAGAAAAAGTGTTTGTTACCTCCACAAAAAATTCAGATTCAGCACATTGCTATGGTATATTACCCCAATTTGCATAACACATATACATTAAAGAGCAAGAAAGTAATTTTTGTCACAGTTGTTTACACTTATAGCTGCATACTTCAGAACAGTTAGATGTGAGAGAGCAGGTGACTTTATAGTATTTTTTGCAAAAGTAAGGATTGTGCTCATGAGATTATAAAAGCGAAGTTTGGGCTCAGTACGGGTTTAAAGAATCTTTTTTAAGTTCAGCATTAAGAAGGATTAAAAGAATAATGAGTACTTTGAGGACCTCCAAAGTGTAGATTTGGGAGGAAAGGCTGGCTTGTATATTAATTGCAACTGACGGATGAAATTATTAAGTTCATTTCACATAACTCACAATTCTTCTGGTGCTTGGATAGATTTAAGACAGAAGACTACAGTGTTTTGATGGGACATTAGAAATGGACTGTGTATATGCCTGAAGGGGGAAAATACACATTTCTGAAGAAGGCAATCATGACTATACAAATAAGAGCTGAGACTTTTTGGTCCCTCCCAGCCCAGAAAATCTTTATTTCCCAGAGGTGTTTTCTAATATATCTACTAGAGGAATATTCTGAGAACAAACAGGAAAGCGATTCTTCAGCTTTTGTGGGGAAGGTCCCTAGTCCTATATTTTCTGACACAGCAACTCAACTGCTAAATCCTATGGGAAGCCGTTGGGGTGTGTGGAGTTGTTTCCAATAACATTACAGGAATATAGCTGCCTGCGTATTTTGGGGAGGGGCGGGGGCGAGACTGGAGATTAAAATGAGATGCAAGAGTTGCCCAAGACTGCCTGGAAAAGCTTCTTCTGCTCCAGAAGCCATAATATTGAATCGCATCGGTTGAAGGAAAGGAGATTATTTCAGTGATTTGATAGCGCGGGTGATGCGCTCTGCACCTGGGCAGAGATACTGCCTTCATCCTTACTTCACCCACCATACTTTCCTCAAAAGACTCCAGTTCGGCAACGAACCCGGGTCTGGGGAGCTTTGGCTCCAGCGGCTTCGAGGGACACCCGGGTTTGTTTCCCCACCTTCAGGTCTACAGGAACGGGGTCGTGTGAACGCCTTGCAAAGTCGCTGCAAGACTGCTCGCACCTCACGCGCGAACAGGTGTCCGGTGGCCCAGATCAGGTGCCCCAGATGCTCGGGCTCCTTCTTGCCCAGCGCAGGGAGCCGCAAGGAGCGAGGCGGTCGCCCGAGGCTGTCCCTACCTGGAGGACTCTCCGATGAAGCTGCCGCCGTCCAGCAGCCGCACCTTGCAGAAGAGGATCCCGTTCACGAAGGGCACCGAGGAGAGCTCGTCCAGCTCCAGCTCCACGCGGAATTTGAACTTCTTCTTCTTCATCATCATGAAGGCCATGTGGGGGGCGGGGGAGAGACGACGAGGAGGGAAGAAGTAAACAAGCCGTCGCCGCGAGCAGCCCCCGGGCAGCGCCTGCGGCTCCTAACTCCCCGCCGGCTCCTCCATGGCCACAGCCGTTGCTTCGTCGGCCCTTGTGACCGGAGGAGGAGAAGCTGAGGGGGAGGGAGAAAACGGGCGAGGTGGGACGCAAACCCGCCCGCCCGCGCTCTTGCTGTCTCCACCTCAGGTAGGCGGCGCTAGCTGGCGCTGTAGCTACGCAGCGGCCCTTGCTGCGCCCGCCCGCGCGCCCGCGCGGGTGCCACGGCGGTAACAGGCGCCCGCCTTTCAAATCAGCCCGCCTCCCAAGTGCCCCCCGCCCACTGGTTCTCCAGGCGGTGGGCGGTGCTGCTCTTTCCTTCCCTCTCTCCCCCCCGCCCGGCTGCAGGTCCGGGTCACGTGAGGCCCGCGGGCTGCCTCGCCCCGTCCGTGTATTCCACCCGCGAGTGCCCCCAGGGGTGCAGGAGGGGCCCGCGCCCGGTTGGGGCCACAGGGAGGTCCGTCGGGGCGCGCCAGACTCCGGACGAGCCCGCCAGACCTCGTCCCTGCACCGTCCCGGGGCTTGCCGGTGAAGCCCGGCCACGGGAACGTTGCAATTAAAATAGAAGGAAGACTAGAGCTGGCAGTTTCCGGGGGCGAGAGTTGCACGTGTGAAATCTGCATGGGTTGCCAAGCTGTTAATATAGCTCTGCAAGCCGTGAGACAAGCTGGGTCTCACATTGGCACAAAACCCCCACCAGTTTGGAATCCTATACCAGTGGTTTTCAACCTCTCCACAGCTGGGGACAGGTGAAAATAGCAAAATCACCTCGTGGACCAATGAGGCAGAAACAAAAGGCACCATCCACATAATACAGTATTCCGTGTGTTAGTCTCCAAACACAATATCAAAAAATGAAAATCCTCCAACCAGAAACTGAGCAACAAATGCCAACAAAAGAACAAAATACTGAAATTGGAGCAGTGTGGCTCCCAGCTGGCTCCCTCTGTGCTGTCTCCCCCCCCCCCCCCCAATATGATGCCAACCGAGAATAAGGTGGTGGAACACAGCCAGCCCCCACACCGGTCTGCAGCGAGCAGGATGTGGCCCCCTCACGGACAAGTAGTACATCTTCCATGGACTGGCACCATTGAAAACCTCTGTCCTATACTGTACTCTGTTACCTGGGGTTGATTCACCTGACTCAAATGTGGCCTCTCTCTCAGGAGAAAGCTGTAGGAGTGCTCTGGTCATCCTCTTCTTGTCTCCTTTTGCCCAAAATAATTGCCCACCTTCCCACTTTGACAGTCATTAATGCGGATTAGAATTACCAAATTCACCTTTGTTTCAAAATGGTAACCACCCTTTTATCACTTTTTAATCACCATGGTGGTGAGCATGACTCCTCAATATATCATCGAATTTACTGCTGAGATGTTTGCATTATCGGATCAGTGACTGGGAGAATTTCTTTCACACCCTTCTTATGACCTTCTTGGCAGAAATACAGATTTCTTAATGTATTAAGGACCTTCAATCAAGGAGAAGTGTCTTAAATTATCATGAAGCTTACTATCTTAAGCCAGCGACACTCAGCAAAAATATGACAAAATTAAGGCACGAGCACTACCATTATTCAGCTTATTTAAAAGATCTCCTACATGCAGAAGAGTAGGAAAAGCCTAATATTTATGTAATATCCTGGCCAAAAAAACCCCACACAAAACCACCAAGAGTGCACAGAGAGATTGAGAAAGAAGAGAGATTTTAAAATGTGAAACCTTTCAGTACAAGAGAAAGCTTCAGTCACAAATAAGGATATGCTACAATACCACTCATAAACTGAAGCAAAACCAATTAGGAAGAGTGAAGGGAATGAAGATTAACAACAGGCATCTGCAATGAATGCTTTTCACTTTTAAAAACATGTTTATATATTTTAGATCTATACATTTATAAACAGGATCCATTGCTGATGGTCATTTGTTTTATTTTAGATTGCTGTGTCATGGGCATTGTATAACTTCGTATCAGCTGACTTCTATTTATGTGTCACCTTTACATCACACATTTCCTCCGAGGAACTCAAGGCAGGATACATGATATTCATTCCCATCCATTTTATCTTTAAAACAGCCCTGCAAGGTAGGGTTAGATGGAGAGATAGCAAAGTTTACCAAGGAACTTAATGGTTCTGCTTGATTTTAGTCCAAACTGTAATCCCTGCATCAGACTGGAAATATAGTAATTCCACATATACACAGTTCTCAACAGCATAAAGAGAACCAAGGCGATGTTCAGAGTGTTGGATTAGGGACTCTGGGAGACCTGGGTTCTGGTCCCCAATTGGCCATGAAGTTCACAGAATGACTTTCAGTGAGTCATTCAGTCTCAGCCTAATCTACCTCACAGAGTTGTTGTGAGGATAAAATGAAGCTATATTTGCCACTTTCGTCATCCTTTAGGTTCCTCACAAAAGGCACTATTTACATCCAAAGTGATTATGATAATTACTACTAGTAATAATAATACCCTTCATGTTTCAGAGTGTAAATTACCACTAAGAAATAAAGCCTGAAGTTTTTGGAAGGTTAGGGAAAATGCCCTGAGGCCCTTTCCTTGAATGTGTGAGGGTAGTGAAAATTATATCTTTGTCTATTTGTTTAAATGTGATGGCTCTTGATCCTCATTCTCGTCACTCCTCACTCACTCAGACAGGGAGGTGAACTGGCAAGCATGCCAAGAAAGTTCTGTTCTGTTGGACCATGTGCTGAGCAGAACCTGATCTTGGTACTGGCCCTGAACACAATCGAGTTATGCAGGCAGTGAATGGAGAGATGCTTAATGACTGAAGTTACTGTGTCACCAGGCCCAGGAAGCGGGCTAAGCCTTCACCCCAAATATTTCTCTATAACCTTTCCCCTAGTCCTCTTCAAAATGAGGGGTTAGCATTCATTCTTGTAGAGGGGGAAGGAGGAATATGTGACTGAGGATACTGATGTGCTGGAGTAAACAAGATAAGCCAGACCTTCACTGATAATGCTCCTGCAAGGGGTTGCAACCATTCTTACAGGCCTTCTTATCCATGCCCACATCAAACCAAATAGTGATTAGCATTTTGCTAGTTCCACAGATACTAATTACTTGAGTAGGGTTGCCAGAGAGGTTATGGAAGCTGCGTTTGTCTCTAACAGAGCTCAGCTGTGAAAGATGTCCAGCTGCAGCTTATTCTGCTACACACCTCCCCTCTCAGTGCCTGTTCCAAACAAGGGTGCTGTTTACTCCAGCAGGCAGGAGGGAGAGGCTAAGGAGAGTGATTGGGGAAATAAGAGGGCAAGAGAAAAGTGTGGGCACAGCTTTTTTTCAAAACTGCTGATCCCCTAAAGCAACAAAGGGTCTCTGAGTTACAACCAACCAGACAAGCTGTTAACTCAAAGATAACATTTGTTCAGTTAACAACTCTGAGCAGCAAAATGTTAATTTCACAGGACGCAGTCAGAGGATGCCTATGAGAGAGGTAGGGTGCACTGCTGTGTAACATATGTCTGTATCACATGGGGCATACGGAGATCATCTGTGCCTGCACTCATGATAGAAAATCCTAACCCTAAGCAGAACAGAACAGACTCACAATTCTATGGATTGCGACAGACCTTTACAGTGTGAAAGCCACTGTGGCACAGTGGTTAGAGTTTTGAACTAGACTTGGGCAATCTGGAACCTAGTTCCTGCTTGGATCAAATGGAAAGGAGGAGAACCTTATGAGTTGCATCTTGAGGTTCTCTGCAAGAGGGGAAAAGACAAGGTACAAATGTAATGCTTCTGATAATGCATAGGCAGAGTTTGACACCTGGTATACATTGCCAACTGAGAACTTCAGGACATCTCACTGTAAACAAGCTCATTTCTGGAATACTGGGGCTGCCGCAGATGAGAGGAATGGAGTGGCATCCCCAGAAGGAAATAGCAATGTCTCTGAGTTTGAATTGCCCCACTGTGTGGGTCTTCCCTATTGAGTAGGGTAAGTCCTCTAGGAAGGAATACCCTCTGTGGGGGACAGATAGCAAAGTCAACATAGTTCTTATTCTGATGAAGAGACATATAAGAGGTGACATATGTACAGAGCAGAAAGCAAACAAAGGTAGAAGATATAAATACACAGAGAGTTCCAAGCATAAAAGATTAGTTACATCAAAGGAATATTGGTGGTGATGATAGAATAAACCAGCAACTGAAAAGGCTACCTGCAAAATACAAGTGAAGCTGGTTGTGATATTCTTCCAACTTCATTTCCTTAAAATATTACAATGGCACAGATGCTTCAATTCATGCAGAATATGGCTGCCAGAATTCCAGCTAGAACCTGGCTGGCCCAAGACATGTATTTCTTGCCCAGAGGTGGAACAGTAAATGGTACCCCTTCCATTCATGTCAAAATCAGGCCAAGTGATTTTAGCACACAGGACACATACCATTCCCCATCCTCAACAATAATCATAGAACAACAACAACAGATTATATAAGCAATGGTTTGCTGCCCTTTCATGACAGCCAAAATCTTCTGCTTGAGTCATCAGTGCCACTGGAGGAGGCAGTGGTAGGTCCACTCTGCTGATGGGGTCTTTAAATGGCTTCACTAACTTGCTATTCCCTTCTGAGACCAATTCAAGGTGCTAGTGTTACTTAAGTGCCTTGAGACCTAAATATTTGGAAAAACACTTCTCCTACCTATCTTTAAAGGAATTCCCTGGGTTTCTTTACCACAGGAAGTGAGTTGTGCATGAACAAGGGAGATGGCCTTGTCAACGTGGAACCGTGTCTTTGGAAATCTTTCCTCAAAGCATCTTGAGTGGTGCTAATATTATCATTCCATGTTGTCTGGTTCTGACAACATGGCAAGCCGTGGTAAGGCCTGAGTATGACATGAGGATGGATTGTTGCTGAACCATGGATTGTGTTATTTGAACCCTGCCATGCTAACAATCCATAATTACTTCACCACAAACAACCCATGAAAAGAACCCATGCTTTGTCATTGGGTTGAGGAACAGTTGTTTGTTTGTGGTTACCATATGACAGAACAATTTGCCTGTTTTGGATACTGTGCATCTGGAGATACTAGCAGAATTG